AGACACAGAATCGGAAACAGGCTCCAGGCTCCGAGCCATCAGCCCAGAGCCCGACGCGGGGCTCGAACTCACAGACCGCGAGATCGTGACCTGGCTGAAGTCGGACGCTTAACCGACTGCGCCACCCAGGCGCCCCCAAAAACAAAAGATTCTTAAGAGACAATATAGAATTTCTTAGAGATAGTACATTTGTGATGAAACATTTGTGGTGTTACATTTGCCTAGATATGAACTGTAAACATCTAATGGGGAATAACGTATTAAGACAGCAGTACCAGTGTTCAGGTCAGAGAGAAGCAGAGATGCAAGTTACCATGTCAAATAAATTTTCTAGACTATCTCTCATATGAAGTCTTAAGCTTTGTAAGAACCAAACTGTGAATTAGCACATGGCATAATACAAACCATGTGCCTAAGGGAGAGAAGTGTATCAACATTCTGGAAATATAAATCATAATTTAAGTTATCCAAGTTATTCTTATAACTAAATTTTACTCTATGCAGAAATAGTAACTTCATTTAGCAATTATTTGTTAAAACACTGTTTTGTGCCAGATGTGTCCCCGAAGTACTGGGGATTCAAAGGTTGAAGAAGTCAGATAAGAGCTTGTTCCCATGGAGATTTACATTCAAGTAAGGATGGAGATAGATGATAAACAGCATAAATTAGTACATGAGGTAATTTTGAGTAGTTATAAATATTATGAATAAAATAAAAGAGTGATGTGATAAGATATAGAAGTAGAGTAGGGGCTATCTTAAATTGGTGGTCATACAAGTCTCCTCTGAGGAGGTGACATCCGAGCAGAAACAAAAATGACAAAAATGAACCTGCCATGCCAAGATTCAGAGAATTCAGGCAGCAGCAGGAACAAGTAAAGATGTTTCAAAGTAAGGGTAACATTGATGTATGTTCACGAAGAGAAAGAAGGTCATGGAACAAAGATGAAATCACTTAATCGAGATAAGAGAGTTTGGCCAGATTATTATAGAGCACTACAGGCCATGGTAAGGAATTTAGATTTTATCCTGTGGGAAGTCTTCTTAAAAGGAGAGTTGCATGATTTGATTTAAGTATAAAAAGATCCCTCTGGCAGCTGCATAGGGAATGGACTGTACAAGGCCAAAATTGGAAGCCAAGAAAATTGTTAGAGTCACAGTAGGGCCATCAAGGGGTGACAGTGATGTGGAAGAAGAGGGATATGATATATATATATACACATATATATGAGATATATATATATATATATATATATATATATATAGTAGCACATTTTAAATATATGAACTGTGGGGGCACCTGGTGGTTCAGTTGGTTGAGTATCTGACTGTGACTCAGGTTATGATCTCATGGTTCAAGAGTTCAAGCCCCACAACAGGCTCTGTGCTGATAGATCCACTGTCCCCTCTTGCTCTGCCCTGACCTCGCTCATGTTCTCTCTCTCTCTCAAAAATAAACATTAGAAAAAAAAATATATATATATATGAACTGTGCCTGGACATAATGTAGGCATTTCATGTATATTTCTTGAATGAATAAATAAATGAATGAATACATGAATAGCATAATGCTTATATAAACATTAAAACATAGCAATGTACTCTATTCCTGGCATCATATTTTAGTCATGAAAACAGAAACAAAGGAAAGTATGAGGAGTCTTTTACATTCACAAGAAACCCTAAAATTTTCATTTACATTCACATGCTTCTTTCATTACAAATAAGGTAAACAATTTGCAAATGAATCTAACTTAAGAAAATTTTAGAATGGGACGACCCACCAAACATCTGACATTTCCTACTGTTAATTGTGGAGTTTCTTCATAGAGTCATGGCTAGAATAAGAAATAAATAACAGAAATTCTGCCTTAATAAGAACATTGCCCGTTAGTTGGCAGAAAAAGGAAATTATTCACTTGAGGTTTCTAAAAATAGCTTGCTCTGTGCCTTCTGTACCCGGGCTGTTCACACTAGTGTCAGGGTGTGCCCATGGTGCGCAGCATGGGGTCTCTGCCACCTCCCAAGAACCGACTGTTAATTATTTAGAAAATTGATGAGCAAGTGGTTAAAAATACTGTTATTAAAATTGAAATTATTTAAATTTCTTAAGTAAATGAGGAAGTTTAAAACAAGGTAGTAAATTCTCAAAACTCATCACTTCCTAATTCCTTACTGCATTTTTAATAATAGTCTTTGAATGTTTATTTATTTTTGAGAGAGACAGAACACAAATGGAGGGGAGGGGGCAGAGAGAGAGGGAGACACGATCTGAAGCGGGGTACAGGCTCTGAGTGTCAGTACAGAGCCCGACACGGGGATCAAACTCACTGACTCTGAGATCATGACCTGAGCTGAAGTCAGACGCTGAACGGACTGAGTCACCCAGGCGCCCCTGTTCTGGCATTACAAAAAATTTTTATCAGTTTATTTTGAGAGAGAGAGAGGGGGGGATAGAGAGAATCTTAAGCAGGCTTTGTGCACAGAGCCCAATGTGAGGCTCAAACCCACAAACCGTGAGATCATGACCTGAGCCAAAACTCAAGTTGGATGCTTAACCGACTGAGCTACCCACGTGCCCCTATGTTACTGCATTTTAATATCATCAATGCTCTTGAGGTTATTCCTCTGCATCTGTGTGGTGGCTACCACCACATATGCATAATGGTGTGCTGCTCAGCATTTCATCGTAGCTCCACATTTAGTGATGTCATGTGGGAAGTTTGAAATCAGACATGATGGAAATATTTACACCACAGAAATTAGCAAACTATAAAGCCAGGGCTTCCCCTCACCCTAACACAGTCTGTTGTTTAACATCTACCTGCACATCACTAGTTATCACTATGCTGAGGCAGTTCACTGCTACGGCATCTCCAGCTACAAACTTCTGTAGTTTCAACCCCAGAAGCTTTTGGGTTTTGCTTCACATCAGCGATGAAAAATGAAGGGTAAGGAAATAAAGAGAGCAGCAGTGGGGTATGGCAGGCTTCTTAACAAGGAAGGTTGGTTTTCAAATCGATTTACTGGGTTCTTTTGCACTTTACTACCCTCAAAATAAAGTGCTCATTTCCCTGATTTCCTTTGTGGAACAGCCCTGCTGAGTGTGAAACCACTCAAAGTGTGTGCTAGCAAAGTTCAGAAATTAGAAAATATTTTAAAAATAAAAACATGCCATCTTGTCCTATCATTAGTAATGACTAAAAGGAAAACTAATGTTGGGGCAATGCAATGGGAAATGCACTCATATACAATGACAACAGGAAAATAAATAAATATATTTTAATTTGGCAATATAAAAGTAAAATACTTTATCAAATTATTTCAATTTAACCCGCAGAAAGATTAATTTATAAAAATGTATTCAAAATAGAATTATTTATTATAGTGGAAACCAAAATGGGTAGATACATCTTATACATTTGAGAGAATATGTATAATTTTAAGTGAAATTTACAACATTTTGAATGACATGGGGACTGTTTGTGTAACATGATTCATAAAAGTAGGATATACCATTATACATTCAACAGAAGCAAAAATGCAAAATTATATATAAATATAAATATATAAATAATAAATATATAATTTATAAGATATTATATATTGTAAATATATATAATATATAATAATTATATAATTTATATAAAATATAAATATATAAATATACATACACACACACACACATACTGAACACTAATTGTAGCTAATTTAGAGTGTTTGGAATATGACTATTTTTTATTTTCAAATTTTGGCAATTTACAAATTTTCTAAAGAAACACAATAATAATGTCTAAACAAAAAAAAATCAACATAAATTAAATACATGGGAAAACCTATTTAAACAATTTGCAAATAAATCCAAACTTAAATGAGAAAATTCTAGAATGGCACTATTCACCAAATACATTAATCTATTTAGCTATAAATTATCGTTTTTTTCTAAATCAGTGATCCCTGTCTTTAATTTAGCATCTTGCAGTGTTTCAGAGACTCATAAAGCTCTCAAATTAACATCATTTAATTCATTATAATTAATCTATAGCATGCAGGATGAGAAAAAAGTATCAAAATTTAAATAATAGTGTTGTACAAGTCCACACAAGAGATGAAGTCACTGCCTCAAGTATTTATTTTGGATTTCCCAGTGCTGTGAGAAATACAGTTTGCAGAATAAGGATACAAACGCTGAGACACAGAGAGAGAGAGTAAAGGAAGGAGCTTCCATCTAGTTATAGTGTCTTTCTATTACTATATTAACATACATAGGACAAAGAAAAAGGAGTTAGAAAAGTATTAATAGTAGTCTAGTGAATTTCTTTTTTTTTTTTTTAATGTTTATTTATTTTTGAGACAGAGACAGACAGAACATGAACCAGGGAGGGTAAGAGAGAGAGGGAGACACAGAATCTGAAATAGGCTCCAGGCTCTGAGCTGCCAGCACAGAGCCCAATGTGGGGCTCGAACTCATGAGCTGTGAGATCATGACCTGAGCCAAAGTCACAGGCTCAACTGACTGAGCCACCCAGGCACCCCGTGAATTTATTTTTGATAAATTTCGGATATTAGTATTTAATGGTCTATTATTACGTAAAATTTTAATGCATTGTGGTATTTCTTTCCATTGAACTATAGTTGACATACAATGTTACAGGTGTACTACATAGTGATGCAACAAGTCTAGATGTAATGCTAGGCTCACCATAAGTGTGGCTACCATCTGTTACCACACAATGCTATTAACATACCTGCATTATGGTACTTGAATTATGCTTTGTCACCCAGATAGTAATCAAAAAGTATGCAGTATGTTGCAAAGTTACTTTTGTGACTTATAAGGGAAGAAATGCCAAGTTTTAGGACATCCTTGACACTTCAGATTTCCTTAGGAAAACACTGATACTGGTGTGCATACCAATCCTACCTTTACTCTTGAGAATCCATATGGCCTACAAATATACAAGTAATTAATGGAGATGTGTCTTAAATGACTGGCTTACCTGAAATTTTGACTTGAGACACTACTCCATCTCCTCCATCACTGTGTGCACGAACCTCTACAACATACTCTCCATCCCTGGGGATTGGAACTTCTATGGAGTGTTTATGAGTTGAATACAGCTTGCCATCATGCTGGCCATCGGGTCTATAGAGAACCTGAAAAAGTCCCAAAATATGTATATTTAATAAAGTGGTAATAATGAGCCAATGCCAAAACACTAAAACCAAAATAAAAATGCTTAGACTTTTATTAATAATAATAAAAAAATCCCAGGAAGCTGTTTAATACTAGCTAGAAAAAAATTGTTATTTTTAATTCACAGAAATTGATTTCATCTATTATTTTAGGGTGATCCAAGAGAAAATGCCTTAAGCATCTGACTTTTTTTTTCTGACCTAACATAGAGGCAAAAATGTGTGTGTGTGTGTGTGTGTGTGTGTGTGTGTGTGTGTGTGTGTGTATGTGTTTTATGGAATAGGTATAAAAATGAGGGCTCTTTGAACATTTTGAAGTAGTCTTAAAAAAATGCTCAGAATTACATTTTTAATATTATTCCCAAAGTCTGGTATCCAATAAAAAATGTGTGATAGAATATATGGAAATAATCTTTTTTTGGTTCATTTATGGTATGCAACTCAATATACCCAAGTTTACTGTGTGCCAGGCAACACTATCTTAATCATTGCCAAACAAAAATGGATTTATGCACTGATTACTTTAGCAACTCTATTCTTTAAAGCAGTTATTGTACCTATCTTGCTCACTTGACATAGAATTTTCATAGAATTCACTGAAGATCTTTTCTCATTTCAAAATTTATCACAGTACGATGTCATCTGATCCCTCTATACAGCTAGAATAAGAAAGCTGAAAGGATTTTGGTGAAATAAACATCAGTCAAGTCCAAACATTAATCACTCTTTATAGGAATAAAGCCTGTGTGGTGAAAAACCCAGTAATCTTTTACATACCTTATATCCTGTCACTGTAGATTCATTTGATAGTGCTACCACATGATCCCAGGTGATTATATAGCGTGAACCAGATCTTATGGAACTGATGATCCTTGGGGGCTGGCTCGGAGCTGTGGAAAGTAATAATACGCAAGTGACAGCCACCGTATCCAACTTGAGTTTTGCAAACTGCCTTGAGTCAGTGATGATAATGATGTGACAACAACAGCTAATTTTGATGAGTGCTTACTACATAACAGGCACTATACTAAGCACTTTATATCCATGGGTTCATTTAATGTACCCTTGACCCTGTGAGGTAGGTAATATAAGTATCTTTTATTCTCTTCTCCTTGTTCTTGGGTTTCTTTCTCCACCAGTCTTGTAACTGCTGCTTTTAAAGCCATCAATTATCTCCAGTTGGCCAAATAATGTCATGTTTTACTCTTTTCAGACTTAATATCTTTGTAGCATTCTACAGAATTGACCTTCTAACCCCTTTCTGAATCTCATTCTTTTCTTAAATTCATGATCTCTTAACATCCAGGTGTCCTTCCACCTCTCCAGATGCTCCTTCTCATTAACCATCCTGTGCCAGCTCCTGTCCTCTGCCTAATTTCTAGATGTTGGCATGACCTAGGACTTGATCCTGAGAACACTTCTCTGATCTATGAATCTTTCCTAAAATTTATATCTGGGTGTATGGCTATAAGAAGTCAAAATTTTATTTCAGGTGTATGCTTTCTCTTGGCCTCTAGACATATGTGTCCAATTGCCTGTATTAGAATCTCTACAAGACTTCTCAAATGTAATCAAGATGGAACATTTGCCATGTTCTCCCAAATCTGCGTCTCTATGGGTCTTTCCCATCTTTGGCAAATGATACAACTGAATCCTCAGTTTCTGAATCAAAAGTACAGTACTCAGTCTTCCATTCCATCCATGCCAACATCCAAATCAGCACCAAGTTATCAACTCTTTCTGTAGAAAATTTTCCACTTCTCTTTATATCCATTATCACTTAGTTCTGGCCATCATCACTTCTCTCCTTGACATCTAAAACCGTCCCCTAATTGGTTCTTCTGTTTTCACCCCTACTCCACCACCACCCATTGTCCATCCAGAAGCCAGAATGATTTTTTTCAAGCATAAGTTAACTATCCCTCTCTGCCTTAAAATCTCCCAATGGCTCTCAACAGACTTAGAAAAAACTCTAATCCCTAGCAGGACCTACAACTACAAGACTCTTCATATTTCAACACCAGCATACTTCCTCCTTCTCACTTCCAGCCTACATCCTTGTCCAACTGGCCTTTCTACACTTATGGCATACCAAACTATTCCCACCCTTAGGCTTTACCCTAATTACTTTCTCTACCTGAAATCGTCCCCTCCCTGCCAGTTGTCATAGTGGGTCCCTCTTATGATTCATATATATATGACTCAAATGGCATCTTATCAAAGAAGCTTATCTTGACCACTCAATGGGAATTCATTTTCCATCCATGTCACTTTATATTTTATTATGTTTATTCATTTTATTGCCCTGTCAACTGATATTATCATTCATATTGATTTGTCAGTTCTTTGTTTTGTTTTGTTTTGTTTTGTTTTGTTTTGTTTTGTTTTCATGTCCTTCCATTAGGTTGTAAATCTTCTAAGAAGAGGCTCTGGGTCTGGTTGGATCCCTTCTGTATTCTCAATGGCTAGAACAGAGATAGTAGACACATAGCACACTTCTGATGAATAAATGGAAAAAAAGGACAAAGGAATGGACGCTGCTCTTACAAATTAGAAAACTAAGGCTTAAAGGTGGGAGGTAATTTGTCTACTGGCACACATTTAGTAAGAGGAAAATACATATCTGAAGCCCATGGCTGATACTAAAGTCTGGTATCCTATCACCATGTTCAGTTACCTTTCCCCAAGTGAATTTCATAAATTTCCAAACACCAGTAGTATTCATGCCTTTAAATTCTTGCAAATCTCTCTAGAATCTTGAATATAAATTCTATTCTTCTATATATTCAACGTGGGTTCAAGAAGGAGATATCAAAGTGAACCCAGTGAGCTGAGAACGACTAGAAGACTTAAGCAGGATGGGCTGTCTTGTTGTATAAACAATAGAACATATGGTAATAAGAGATGAAACATAATGCTACAACATTTACCTCACATTTGCACTATGCAGTGATGAAGGTTTATATAAAAAAAGTATAGAGAAGAAACAATTTTAATTTTCTCATGCTATATGCTATTTATGCAGTCCTATAAAAACAATGTTAAAAATAGTAACAGAGAATACAAATTGATTATCTAGTGATACAAAATTTACAAATGGAGGTTCTGTAATATTATTTCTATAGTGGAACATTAAATGGGTGGAGTCATCCTCCACATGTTTTCATCACCTACAATAACTAGCAACGATTTTTTGTTTGTTTTCGTTTTAAACCTCGGATGGCTGTAAAAGATAAAATTTAAAATGGAATGCGCTAAGACTGCTAGGTAGTAAATTTCTCTCAAATGTAACTTGCATCATGACCAAATGGATTGGTAGTTTTTGATGAGTCTAAATGCAAATGTTGACTCACGTGCTTTCTTGGTGAAGGTCTCAATCATGTCACTGGGAGGCCCACACCCTGCGCTATTGCAGGCCCTGACTTCCACAAAGTACTGGGTGTCGGGCAGAAGGTTCTCCAGCCTGGCCGAGTACTCTTGGCTGGTGACTTGAACTCTGTGTGCAGCTGCTTCTTTGTCATGGGCAGCCCAATACCGAATCTGCAAACATTCAAATTGAGGAAGATGTTGTCATGACTCAGTGGTGAAAATCCTTTTCACTTGGCTCTGACACCTATGATGTTGGCTGAGTGTCATATACTCAAATTTTACTTAATGCTACTTATACTTCTATTGGTCTTAGAATATGGCAAGGCACATAATGTAGATCTATTAAAGATGTCAAAGAAATCAAGGGCTCACCTCATGGCCTGAAATAGTATCACTCTAACAACAACAACAACAACAACAACAAAAGATGAAGAAGAAGAAACCAAAAACCTCTTCATATGATTTACCTTCAAAATATAACACTGGTTTCTGTTTGGACGTATTTCCACAATAATTTTTATCATTTATTTACTGTTTTATTTCTGTTTGTATAATATCAAATGCGTCATGGGTCACTGATAAAACAGTTTGACAGGAAATACAACTTTGTTTTATAAAAAGTTATTATATTGCCTAGAACATGCGAGTGTAATAAGTTTCTGCTAGTTCATTTTAGAAATATGTATGAAAAAATATTCCCTTTGAAGCTATATTTTTGCCAGCTATCAAAGAAATGGGCTTAAGAGTTTAATTAGTTGAGGAAATTATTTATTATGAAAATCAATTTATTTTTAAAAATGTTATCCATGTTGTGATTAGAAATGATTACTTGTGGGGCACCTGGGTGGCTCAGTCCGTTAAGCATCTAAATTCGGTTCAGGTCATGATCTCAGGGTTCATGAGTTCAAGCCTCCCCCCACCTCCCCCACCCAGAAGCTCTGTGCTGACAGCTCAGAGCCTGGAGCCTGATTCAGATTCTGTGTCTCCCTCTCTCTCTGCCCCTCTCCCACTCACACTTTGTCTCTCTCTCTCTCAAAAAATAAACATTAGTTTAAAAAAATGATTACTTGTACCAACCAATGTACCAATGACACTCTTCCTTGTCTCTTAAAGTTTAAGTAAAAATTGGAAATTATAATTTCCATCCTTCTAATGAGACTATTTTATTGGTTAGAAATTCCTGTATCTAAGGTATAAATAAAAAGGAGCAAATTTCCTTATAAATGTGTTGATATTTTATATATTTTAGATTCCCTGGCCATAAAATAAATGAAAATTTAATTTCACAATTAAGCAAAGTGCCTAGACAATAGTATCTAATATTTATATAATCTTGAATAATTACATAAATCAAATGAAACCATTGTAAAATGGAACTAGATGGTTCCAATTCACTTGGTAACAAAGTAAGGTTTATATGTAGAGTGATCACATTTCAGAACAAAGCCTACTTACTAAGTTGCTAATTTGTTTCCTTTGCAATGTTTTTATTTTGTTTTCTAGTACTCATTTTTCTCATGTCAGCAATACTTTTTCTAATGGTTTTTTTTTTCTAGTGGTTTTGATAGGATCTCCTTGGCATTTCCTGTCATCTGACCAGAAGGATGGCCTCAGAACCAAGGAACTAGAATTGTACCCAGTGTCTCCAGATCTCAGTTGGCAGACAAAAGACCTGCTAAGAGGAGGAGCCTCCTCGAGAAGATGTTTCCAGATTCTGAAAGGGTTCAGGCAGTGAGTACATTCATCTGGGAGGACAATGGCCTACATTTTAGTGGGCACTTGAATCAGATAATGCATAAGGCCTCCTTCTAATGCTTGACTAAAGAGAAATAAAATGAAAATTTATATTCTAATGAAATGCCAAGAACCTGAGTAGGATCATCTGTATACATTATCTTCATAATAAATCTAGAATGTTTTATAGCAATCAAAACTGAAATCTATGAGGTTGATGCATTTTTATATGTATGCTTGTTGACTGAGATGTGGACCACATTTTAAAATCTTCATTGAATTTTAACAACTTTTCTATCATCCAGTTTAAAGAAGAGAAACTTTTTAACCAGATAGATATCAAAAAGGTAATTTCTAAAAGACAGACACTATGAGGAATTAAAGTGACAAAATTTTTCTGCCTTCTCACTTAAATTTCCATGAGGCATTTTGGCAGTACAAAAGAAAAGAGCTTTCCTTAATTTACTATTTGCACCTATATCTAAAATGACAAATGACTTTATTCATCATACTTTAGCAGGGATCTGTGGTGGTCAGTCTCCATTAAAATTCACAATAGGGGCAACTGGGTGGTTCAGTCAATGAAGCGTCTGACTTCCACTCAGGTCATGATCTCATGGTTCGTGAATTCAACTCCTGCACCGGGCTCTGTGTAGACAGCTTAGAGTCTGGAGCGTGCTTCGGATTCTGTGTCTCCCTCTCTCTCTCTGCCCTCCCTGACTCGTGCTCTATCTCTCTTTCTCAAAAATAAACATTAAAAAAAAACATAAGTCACAATAAATTAAAGCAGTAATTTAGCTATGCCTTTTTAACTAGGGAGCAGAAAGAATTATTGAGAATGCCAAATAGTCCTTGATTTCCTTGTTTTAGAACAGGAGAGTTGTTTGAACTTTTCACAGTATAGTTAATCTTTACAAATGAAAGCATCTGAGACAAAATGATTTAATTTAATAATCTCTTTATATGTTTACATATAACTTACAATGTTTTCAAAGTATACTAAAATAAATAATAGATAGATATATGTAATGCATGGCATCATCTTTTTTTCTCTGAACTAGCCACTGGCCATGCACGTCATTTCCAAACAGATAATAAATTTGGGCTGTTGCATCTTGATCATCTCACTGAGTTTCTCAATGTGGTGAAGCACCGAGCAAATCACTTATGAGCGATTTGCAACAAATTGCTTGGAGTGAAGGGTGCAACCTGTAGTCATGGAACAGAACAAATGTGTTGCTTTTGATTAATCACTAGGGAGACCAAAAGAGAGCCTGAATGAATTAGTGGAAAGGGATTATCACTACTGGAAAATACATATGCACATACATACATATAGTAGGTCCTGAATTATGGATAGTAAACCATAAATTCATCTTCATATGCTACATTAATACATAATGCATTTCTTTTTAATGCTGTGGCATTATACAATTTTCACTCTTTCTCTACATGTTTCTATAGAGCATCTTTTGTCTCTACATAGCATCTTTTGTCTCTCATAAACCTATCATAGTGCTTATTAGGCAATTATGACTAATTAGACTGCCTCATGACTTGTCTTTTTCCACTTAAACTAGATTATAAGCTCTTTGATGACAGGGTATTTACTATTTATTTTCAACACTATGGGCACAGGGCTACATTTGACGTATGATACTGTTTCATTCATTGAACAAATATTTATCAGGTACCCACTTTGTCCCACTTACTGTACAAGGTGCTGGGAGTGCAGTGAACCCAGGCATACATGTTCTTTGCCATCATAGATCTTATTTAAAAAATGAAGGAATCAAAATGTATAATTTCACATAAAATCCCTAATATCTTTGAGGCAGAGATCTAAGTATATCATTTTGCCCAAAGAATACTTACTCTTTACAAAAGTATTAGGAAGCTAAAAAGAAAAAAGCCTTAGCAGAAGAATATCACACTTTCCATAAATTGTGTGCTACATTAATAATACTTTTGTACAATGACAATATAGTTATATTCCTTCTCAGAAAAATTTAAGAAATTTGCAGGGAAAATGGCTTTTCTAAAACCTCATTTTCTCGGGGCGCCTGGGTGGCACAGTCGGTTAAGCGTCCGACTTCAGCCAGGTCACGATCTCGCGGTCCGTGAATTCGAGCCGCGCGTCGGGCTCTGGGCTGATGGCTCAGAGCCTGGAGCCTGTTTCCGATTCTGTGTCTCCCTCTCTCTCTGCCCCTCCCCCGTTCATGCTCTGTCTCTCTCTATCCCGAAAATAAAAAAATAAAACGTTGAAAAAAAAAAAAAAACACCTCATTTTCTCCAAAGGGGTTTAGAAAAAAGGAATGGATGTGACAATTATGGAAGTGCCTGAAGATATTTAGCACTTTTGAAAATTGTGTTTGCTCCATTTTATTATTTTCAACTTCAGTAAACTTTTTTCTTAAGTTTATTTAGGTTTTTTGACTGAGAGAAAGAGAGAGAGAGACAGGGAGAGAGAGAGAGAGAGAGAGAGAGAGAGAGAGAGAGAGAGAGAGAGAGAAACATGGAAGAGGAAGAAAGAGAGAGACAGAGGGAGAGAGAGAATCCCAAACAGGCTCGTGGATGTAGGGCTTGATCTCCCGAACCAGGAGATCATGACCTGAGCTGAAATCAAGAGTTGGAATCAGATCCTTAACTGACTGAGCCACTCAGGCAGGCGCCCCTGCAGTAACCTTTTGGATCAGATTTCTAAGTTCTGTCCTTTCAGTTCTGAATTTGCTGGAAAAAAAATCATAATCATGTGACAAGTGAAGATTCTTTTGTAAAAGATTTAATACAGTATTTAGGAGAAACGGTTAATATGGTCATTTAAGTGAAAAACTAAGACTCTGACACAAAAAGCTCAATCTCTAAAAATATACAATAACTATATTATCCAAATCTTAGACTCCTTTGCTTATTAGAATATTCTATGGGAAAGGAATAGCAAAAATATAAATCATTCCAATCTGTATTCTTACACCTTTTGGGAGCCATTCAAAATTCTTTTATTCCAGCCACTGGTGCAGGGACCAACCAATTCTATGGAGGCTTCACTTAGGTACTTCTCCTAAGCATGACCAGTAAGCATTTCACCCATGCTAGTGCTGCTGGCTTCGCACTCCCAGTCCCAGGATGTCTTTGATGCTGGGATGTGAAACTTGTCCCACAGTCCACGGAAGTGGGAGAGGAGGTGATGCTGATGGGGCCACCCTTAACCAGTGGGGGGCAGCAGTGGATGAATGCTCCCCCTTTTATCCCAGGTAGGGCAATTCTAAGCCACATTCTAAAGGTCCTCAAAGATCCTAAGAGATGGAGCACCAGTTGCCAACAGGGTTTGCCAAAAAGATATGCATCTTTCTATCCAAGCTTCCCCTTTTCCTCTTCACTCTGTTTTTCCTCATTTTTTTGCTCTCCAGGATCATATTAAAACAAATGGATCAACAACAAAAACACTACCTTCTCCCACACCTGTGTGTCAGACTTTGCTTTGGGGAGATCAAGATCCAAAATAAGAAAATGAAGTACTTCCTAAATATTAGTACTTCCTAAATGTGCTCACTATAATCAATTAACCTTTAAAAAACTGAGATTACTCAGGATTGATAATCTTTTAAGATAATTGTGAAACTGATTATTTGCATTAATCTCTAATTCACTTGTTAAGAGATTTTGCATTCATTATTCCTGATAGCATATTATGCTTGTTTACATTAAGTTAAGTGGGTGTTGTACCTGTTGGGTGAACAAACTAAGTCTTTTGCGGATTCTGGGCAGGAGCTCAAAGCTCTAATACACCTTTCCTACACTGCAGAAAAACTTGTACCATTAAGGTTAGGAGTGGGGAGCTCTTTAGGCAAGAGGAAAAAATAAGGAGAACTTAAACGCTCTACTGAGATACATTTTAAAACCACAAGGGAAGAGATTATTTTTAAACTCAACTGCTCACAGTTCTGACTTGAAATATCAGGAAATTAACCTTGAGAAGGGGTCAATCACACAGGACTCGGGCTTTTCCAGTTTTTATTTTATTTTCTTAATGTGTTACTTTTTTTTCTCTGTTTCTGTATAACTTTGTCCCTGAGTACATTTTTATAGGAAGTGCACTGGGGTATTAGTTTTCTCAATCATCTATCTTGTTAAACCATTGGCTTCTCCCATAATATTTTAAAATAGAAACAATAACCACATTATAGTCAGTCAAACTCCCCCCCACCCCCTATACAGGGGCATTTTCTTACAGGAGAATAAATGTTACAGACATTCTCTTTTAAGCTTTCATGCTTGTCTCTTTGATATTCAAGGTTCTGTGTCAACAACTCAAAAAGGTTTTAAGAAAGAACAACTGGAAACAATAATTTTGCGATTTATGTCCAATATTTTAAATTTATTTGGAGACGTAAGACCTAGGTTCAAATCTGGTTATGCTAATTATTACGCAGACAAATATTTCTAAACTCCAATGCTGTTGAGCATCATAAAGGCTCAACAAATGTTATCATTCTTATCAATATTATCATTATCATTTTCATCACTGTCATTATCATCACTATCACTGTCTTCAAATGTCCAATGACATAGAACAGGGAAAGGCATTAAATGGTTTGATTTCATTCCACACAACAGTTCTATGAGGCATGATTACTCTTTCACCTTTCCAGGTAAGAGAACCAAGGTTCAGAAATTTCAGATAAATTTTGTATCAAATTCCTCAGTGACAGAGTTGAGCTATCAATGCACATCTGCTCAGCAAAAGAGCTCACTGTTTTCTACTTAATATGGAGTTACAGAAAGTCAGATATCTGTGAAACTAAATTCCTCAATGGTATACATTTTCCTTGAAATTATCATTTGAGAAAATATTATCTGATAACTATTATTTTTAATGGACTATTTCATTGAAAATCCTTAACTGATGTTTACTTCCAATCAAAAAAGCTTACATTCTGGTTATTGCCTAAATTCATTGGTGCCAATGCTAGGTCAATGTTTTAAACAAAGTAAAATATAAATTTAGCATTTTGATTCAATGAGTGAGTTATATTTTAAATAATCTTTTTTCTCTTTTTTTATGATTTAAAAATGAATAATATGAAAGAAGAAAAAATCCTATGGTTCAAGATGACTTTCAAGCTCCAAATACTGATGTCTTCTCCCAAGAAACCTTGGACTTGTTTATTATAGGGGTTTGTAATGCCTAGTGAATTTCTTTATTTTTCCCATTCCTTTCCTACTAGCTTTAAATGTAAAGGTCAATTTAATAACTTATGAATACTGTCTTTCCAGTTCATTCCTACCATTCCACTCTTTTCATAATAGCTTCAGCTGAACCCTTGCAAAGATTATCTGAAGACACTTTGACATGTACCCAAATCATAACCTATGTTACTGAAGAAAAAAAGCTTCCTGATATTTACATGTTTAAAACTTAAAATCTTGGGTTGGTTTTGTGGTCACATCTCAGAAACATGGCTTTGAGAAGTCCAGATTGTAACATATGATTTGATAATACTGTAGCTCTATTCAGCCTGAATACCTGTTTAGTGCCTACCCTGTGCCCAGCACTTGTTCTTGGCACTGAGAGAAAAACAGACAAAATCTTGCCCTCAAAGAGCTAATATTCCAACAGATGAAGAAGGAAGGTGCACAAGAATTGAGAGGGCAAGCTGGCTGTGTGCGCAGTTCAGCGCCCATGGTTTCAGAAGGGCATTCACTTCTAAAACAGAAAGGAGTCTGTGGTTTGGCATAAAGCCTTGAACTTTGAATCATCAAAGCTGAATTTTAGATACTGCTTTGACACTTAATTTGTGCTGAGGCAAGTTGTTGAATCCCTGGCATCCATTTGCTCATCTGCAAAGATCAGATGTTGCCACTTCCTCCTAATTTTCACTCTATGTGCTTAATTAAACATATGAGATGATATCACATTTCCTGCACAATCAAATCTTAATTTTGCTAGTATTGTATTAAAGGCCCCGACTATCATTCTAGCTTCAATTTTCCAGGTCTTCTTCCCTTCAACTAAGACAAACTCTCCCCTTTGTATCTGGTGAATTCCTACTGGTATTTTAAGACTCAACTCAAGGAAAATTTCCTTTGGGACATTTCGAATGTTGCCAATTTTCTACCTTCATAGATAACATTATGAGACGCATATTTGGTATATTTTTAGTTATTTCTTTTATAGGGACCATTAGAAGTGGAACTACTGAGACAAATAGAATAAACATTTTAAGGATGCTTTTATAAATTATCAAAATGGTTTCCAAAAAATTTTTAAATTTGGCAACAGTTTATGAGAATGTCTCAAGAGATCTCATTTAACTATGGGTGTTATTACCTTAGTTTTTATTTCAGTCAACTGTTTGTCAACACACAGGACTCTTTATCTCTCCTAGATAAGCTAGTTAGGAATCTCCGCCTTACTCTTAACAACTAGCTTATAAATGCCCAACATATTAGACACAGAGATTATAGTGTTAGTTGCCACATAAATCAATGGCCACAGAACATTCAAAGGGAGAACATATTTGAAAACTTATGGTAATAAACTTTTGAATAAATGTATATAGTTTAATAAAAATTGAACTCACCTGATAGCTTTCCACAATTTTTTCTACAACATGATCCCAATGAACAGATATCTCAGAAGATGATAAGACTTTTACACCTACTTCTGTTGGGGCTTCACTGGGAGCTGAAATTTGATGAGAACATTACATTCTTATATAAGGTGCTTATATTCATATATCACCATTTGCTGTATGAATGGATTAAAATTACATTTTAATATTTTTTCAAGTTTTTGTATTTCTAAAATAAAACAAGACCAGTAATTTTATTATCTTTTTCTCTGCTTTTACTAATATTATTTTATTTCATGGTCAGCAATGATATATGATGACACACAGTCATCTACATGAATGTTAATATATTCATACACATGTACATACACATGCACACACACACTTTTACAAAATATAAACTCTTTCACGGATTTCTCCAATATCTGTGAGCAAGAACTGTACTAATTATTTTTTTGTATTTCTCTGTACTAATCTGCTTTAAGAAAGCCTGTGGATGCACATTCAATTCATTATATTTATATAACTCTATATTATCAAAAATAGGAAATTTGATATTTATTATTAAAATTGTTCATTACATTTAATTTTCATTTTTCTCACTCACACTTTGTATTTACATAAGGTACAGATACACAGGAATACTTCTCTCCTTTTCTTTTATGTTTAAGCTAAGTTTTTTTTTTTTTTTTTTTTTTTTTAGATCCTTTGAAACAAGTTGTGACATCCACTGCTTCTTGTGCTCAGGAAAGCTTTTATAAGTCTAATCTTCCAACTGGGCATCAAGTCAAGTATGTATCAAAAAGGTCTCTGTTCAGTGAAAAATAAAAAGTAATTTACATCCCTTATGAAAATTACACAAAGAAACTAAGGAAATCTTTAAGCAAGAATGGTCAATTTTTATTGTCTTTTATTAACAAACCATAATCCTCTTTTGTGTAAAAAATGTCCTGCACATGAACATTGTTGCCTTTCTAAATCAAGGTTAATGTGTAGCACTATGATTGATTTCCTAGCAGGAGAAGAAGAGAGGAACGCTTATACAAGCTTCGGCACATGCAGGTTTTATGAGACTTACGAAACATTTAGGAAAGAAATATAATTAAATGCAGATGGTCATGACTACAGAGATGACAAGCATGGCCCTTTGCCTGATTACTTTAGCATCAAATAAGGCACTAAAAAGTTGATATTGGGTGAGAAGATAACTTGTAAAGTGCTTTTTACTTTCATTTCTTCTGTGGGGGATACTCAGATTGTTCAAACTGGTAACAATGAGCCAAGTTACCATCTTTCTATTGAATCAGAATAAGTATAGAGAATGTAAGAATTATTACTCAGGTCTGAAAGCCCTGACTTGATTATAAACTTAAATAATTTCCATTTTTATTCTCTCCATGTATTTAGTTAACTTAAAGCATGTGTGTGTGTGTGTGTGTGTGTGTGTGTGTGTGTGCGCGCCTACATGTATATATAACCATATATATAAGATTGCCTTTCATGTTTGTGTTATAAGTAAAGATCATGGAATGATGGGAATACACATTAAATTTTTAACAAGTAGGGAAGCTAATAACTGTATGGCTGAAGAGCGTTATGTGAGTTCTGATAGCTAAATGTGTATTTTGAAGTAGAAGGTAACACAAATTGGGCAAATGAATAGAGTGTTTTTCCTCTAAGAGATCAGAGGAGTATTTCCTGTTTTATTTCCTTTTGTGCTTCTCACATGTATGTGAAGAGAACTTGGCCAAGGACAAATGTGTCAGGTCAGAAGGCAATGGAATTTTCCATTTGCTTTTCTAGCCATTAATTGTTTACATAGTGCTCATGAGTGCGGAGGTATAATAAGGAGGTCTTATGTTTCTTTAATAGGAAAACAATAAAAAGCATAGTAGCTTAAATAGGAAATCACAGAAATCGATGTTATTATGTTTAATCCAAAACGATGTATTATTTATCAAAGACATATAAAGTCTTTTAAAAGCATTCTCAGTTCAGATAAAGTTTCTAGAAAAACAAAGAGAGCCAGTATCTATATATTTTTCCCCTTAACTAGTTCTCCAGACAAATTTTTCCTTTCCCAATAAAAAAATTCAACTTTCTGACTCCTTCTTCATAGAATTATGCCTAGATTCCCTTTAATAAAATTTCAGCACTCTATTGAAGTGGCAAAGAAGTTACATAAAGGATGTAATTATACAATTTGGGGGTTAAAAGGGGAAACTTTACCCCCAGAAAAGTATATATATGTTAAGGAATTTGTAAGTAGTAAGCATTGTGAATGCACAGACATACTAAGGTACCAACCAAGTATGGAGAATTTCTCACTTCACAATTAGAATCAAGAAGCCAAAAACAGGGGTCCAAAGCCAATTATTTTAGTGGAGATTTCCTAATTATCATGGACATGATCTAAAGGATGAAAAAGATTTGGGAGGTACTCTTGTCTTTAAATGGTTGGAATGACATTTTAGTTTTGATCAAAGTAATACTCTTTTACTAAATGCCTAGTACTATGAAAAGATCTTAGCAAGTAAGGCCTGAAAGACAGCAAACAAAATACCTACCAGGGAGTTAGGTTTATCTTCCCTCATCATGTTAGTAAGGTCTTTTACCTACCGTCTTGTGCTGAATTAATGACTGCTGTGAGGCTGTAAGGTCCATCTCCTTTGTTGTTGAAGGCCTTAACTTTGACTTGAAATGCAGTGGAAGGGCGCATGGTCTCATCTTTATGGACATAGCGGCCAGTATCTGGATTAGTTACTGTAACTTTTTTCCATTCTTCCCCATCAAAAGGCTTAAATGCCACTATGTAACCAAAATTGTTGCCGTAGTGGTATTCTCTTGACAAAGGCTAAATAGAAATTGATATATTAAATAGGTTTAAGCAATATAATTAATAAGGAGGAAATCCAACGCAAATAATAGTAACAATACACATCGAAGCATGTTCTTTGTAAAAAAATTACTTAAAAAAACATGTTCATAAGTTAGTGCTGCCTGAAAATGCCAGGGCAAAAACATGCCCAAACAAGTAATGACTTTACTTACTAAGTATTCTCTTCCTGGAATATCTCAGGGGGGCTCTCACTCTGGACCTTTTTACATTCAATTCTTTCTGCCTAGAATGCTCTCCCATACATCAGAAGCTTCCCTCCTTCACTTTCTTGAGGTAAAAATCACCTACTTGTGGTCTTTCCTGGCCACAAGATCTGCCATTTCAAGACTATTTCCATAACACCCCATACACCCCACCTCCCTGCTTTATTTTCTTTTCTGTAACACTACCATGATCCACACTGTATAATTTACTTATCTATCTACTTCATTATCTTTCTCAACTACTAGAATATAAGTTTCATGAGGGCAGGGTTTCTGTGAGTTTCATTTACTTTCATGCCTAGAACCTAAAACAAAGAGTTGTATATGACTCTAGAATATCTGTCCTGTAATCAAACAGTAGGCACTGGTCAGAGGAGAAAAGGGAGAAAAAGAAGGAAGAGATGATATTGCCTTCATCTGTAGGAGGCTGGCTGTGGGCCCCTGTCTGACACAGTACTGATGAATGTGCTCTGTTGGCATTATTTCCTGAGTTTCTTATCATTACACACGTCATCTGCCCAATAAGGAAGTTCATGTCAGCCTTAACAAGTCATTATTTATAAATAACGACAAAGCTAGTTCTAGTAAATACTCATTACTTAGTCGTTTTCAGTCAAAAAGAGAAATATGCAAATTGTGTCTTTAATTTTTCACCAGAAAAATCAAAGTTATCTTGAGGAAAAACCATGAAGTAAATATACCACAGTTTCTTGAATATACATATGTTAAACAGGATGGTATAGAAATATACATCCTGAAAGCATAATCCCCAGGATGCACATATTGTGATTTTTTAAATTATTAGATAATATAACCTAGTGTTTCACAGTAGTTTAAACATTTTTTCTTATTGATAGTTATCTACCTAGTTTTTGCAATTTAGAGTATACCAGAGTCAGCTAGAGAATTTTCAAATCCCAATGAAACTGGAGAAAAAAAAAATCCAGAAAAGAAAAAAACAAACTCCTTGGGGAAAAAATTAATAAGTCTCAGGCCATAGAGACTTGATTTAAAAATTTTAGAATAGGATTTCTAATTATGAATTTTTTTTTAAATTTTTTTTTCTCAACGTTTTTATTTATTTTTGGGACAGAGAGAGACAGAGCATGAACGGGGGAGGGGCAGAGAGAGAGGGAGACACAGAATCGGTAACAGGCTCCAGGCTCCGAGCCACCAGCCCAGAGCCCGACGCGGGGCTCGAACTCACGGACCGCGAGATCGTGACCTGGCTGAAGTCGGATGCTTAACCGACTGCGCCACCCAGGCGCCCCTCTAATTATGAATTTTTGACAAGCCCACATCTTATCCTGAAACAGATACCATCCAATTTTTTTTTAAACCAATTCATATATATGCATAGGGGCACTTGTACCCCAATGTTTATAGCAGCACTCTCAACAATAGCCAAATTATGGAAAGAGCCTAAATGTCCATCAACTGATGAATGGATAAAGAAATTGTGGTTTATACACACAATGGAGTACTACGTGGCAATGAGAAAGAATGAAATATGGCCCTTTGTAGCAACATGGATGGAACTGGAGAGTGTGATGCTAAGTGAAATAAGCCATGCAGAGAAAGACAGATACCATATGTGTTCACTCTTATGTGGATCCTGAGAAACTTAACAGAAACCCATGGGGGAGGGGAAGGAAATAAAAAAAAGAGGTTAGAGTGGAAGAGAGCCAAAGCATAAGAGACTCTTAAAAACTGAGAACAAACTGAGCGTTGATGGGGGGTGGGAGGGAGGGGAGGGTGGGTGATGGATATTGAGGAGGGCACCTTTTTGGATGAGCACTGGGTGTTGTATGGAAACCAATTTGACAATAAACTTCATATATTGGGAAAAAATTTTAAAAAATCATATATAAAAGAATAGAATATTCTAATTTCCCTAATATCCACACTTATGCATGTTACATTGACTAAAACCTACAAATTAAATAACTTGATATTCAGCATTCAGTATTTCTAAATCTTAAGAATGTAACCTAAATGCCAAGAATAAAATATGACACAGCACTGAATGAAGTCAATTTTTGCTAAATATCCACTTACTTAAATTGATTTGATTTCTGCAAAAATTAAAACCTGATTTTTTTTTTTTTTTTGTACTCCTAAAAATCCCTTGGAGCTAGGTTGTGCTTTTTGACTATCTGCAATGATTGAACACTAAAGATATTTAATGGGTACACATGGACCTATATAAACATGTTACCTAGATAAACAGATGTCTAATGCAGACAAGTTTATACTATTGCAGCCCTCTCCTCCACCGATATCTGTCTCACTTCAAAAATCCAGATGAGGGCATTGTTTCTCAGACATTATGGTTTCTGAGATAGACTTCCCTTTGGGTCATAAAAGATTAACAAAACGTTTTGGGTGCCTCAATAACAAGTCCCTTGGGTGACTCCTGAGACAACATATTGTAATACATTACACTAGTGGTCAAAATAAGTCTCAGGTAAGAAAGCAAACTTCATTTTGAAAACAGGTGCTGATACAAAAGTTTTTAAATCTTTGGGGTTTTGAATGCCCAGAGAAGTGTTATAAATTAAAATTGGGTTACCACACCACAGCGAGCTCAAAATCTATCTAGAATCAGATAGCAAGATTTTTGTTTAATCTTTTAGGCCAGTGGATCAATTTTTGCACAGGAACTATACACTCAGCCATAGGTAAAATCTGACTTGCATTTGAGGAAAAAAATAATTTTAGTAATTTATTCTTGCTTGTGCTTTGAGCATTGATTTTTTTTTCTTCTTCCTTTTTTTTTTTTTTCAAGTAAAGTAACATTTTGGGTAGGGGATTGTGACATGAACAATTTTCATGAAAAGAAGTCATTGTGAGTTTGTCAGATACTTCAGAAATAGATGTTCAAGTTGGATAAAGCTTGAAGATAAAATTTGTTTTTCAAAAATGCAATTACAAATGTCATGGAAACACGTTGAACTGAAAGTTAATATTGCCATATTCTATGCAAACAACATAATAAAATCTCAAGGAGTCTTGAAGAAAGAAAATTGCATGCAAAATAATATTAAGTTTAAAAATGCTTAGAAAACATTCACTTTCTGTTTTTATTTTACAAATTTTATGACATCATATGTAGAAGATTAGAAAGACCACCCCAAAATGTCAATGTGAGTTATTTCTGACTTGTGTGATCTTGAGTAATTTTTGTTTACATAATACTTCAGCATTGGAGCTGTCATTAATTTAAAAAAATGTTGCTTTCTAGCTTAAAAAATTATTTTTACAAAACAAACAAAAGGAGAATACCCCTGCAGTAGAAATATTACCATAATAGTAGATATGGTCTTTGGACTAGCTGATACTACATTACTGATGTGTAAATAGAAAAGGACAAATATATCAGTTTAGTGTAGTGAACAAGAGCAGTACCAAAGAACATCCAGATTCCTTTTGGGTAAACGTTCCCCAGTTGAATACCCAATTATTCCAGTACCTTTCGTTAACAAGTTTTTCTTTTTATTGAAAAAGAAAATAAAGTTATTTTCTTTGTATCACTTTGGTGCCTTTGTTGCAAGTTAATTGATCATATGAGTGTGAGTCTATTTCTGGGCTCTCTACTCCATTGATATGTATCAGTCCTTATGGGAATATCACATTGTCTTAATTAATGCAGCTTTAGTAAATTTTGAATTCAGGTAGTGAAATCCTACACCTTTGTTTTTCTGTTTTTATTTTTCAAATTTACTTGATTCTTCTAATCCATGAACATGCTATTTATGTTCATTTATTTGGATTTTCCTTAGTTTCTCTCAGGAATATTTTGTAATTCTTGGTAGAGAAGTCTTGTATGTTTCTGTTTAATTTATGTCTATGTATTTTATGTTTTTCTAATTGTCATTATAAATGTATTTTTAAAGTTTTGTTAGCAGCAAACCAATAAAATATAAAAGAACATTTGACTTTAGAACATTGATTAGGTATCCTGCAATTCTATTAAATATGCCTATTAATTTTAAAAGTTGTTTATAGGTTTCCTAGAATTTTCTGCACATATACACTTCGTGCTCTTTTTTCTTTTCTTCTTCTTCTTCCTCTCCTTCCTTCTTCTTCTTCCTCCTCCACCACCTCCTCCTCCTCCTCCTCCTCCTCCTCTTCTTCTTCTTCTTCTTCTTCTTCTTCTTCTTCTTCTTCTTCTTCCTTTTCTTTTTTTCTGCCCTATTTCACTGGTTGGGGACTATTATAACATCAAGAGGGGATATATTTGCTCTGTGTCCAAACTTAAAAGGAAAATACTTAGTCTCTCACCACTGAGGCCATTATATTAGCTACAAGATTTCTATAAATACTCTTTACCAGGTGTAGGAAATTCCCATCTATTTCTAGTTTACCTTGAATTTTTAAAAAATAAATGACTTTTTTAAGTTGCCAAGTGCTTTTTATGCATCTATTGAGAAGACCCTATGGTTTCATTCCTTTATTCTGCTAATATGATGAGATTTGTGAAACCAACTTTGCATTGCTGGGATAAACTCTACTTTGTCATAGTGTATCATTCTTTTAGTATTTTGCTGGGCTTAATTTGCCAACATTTTGTTAAGTTTTGCATCTATGGTTATAAAAGGTATTTCTTTGTTATGTTCTTTTAAAAATAAAATTCACATTTTATTTAAATTAAAATACATCGTGAACAGTTTATTTATTTCACCAAAAATAACAGCAATAACTTTTATATTGTTACTCTATAAACCGCAAATTCCTATTTTTCTCCAGGTAATTCTTATAAATCAAGAAAGGTGGTAGATACGGTCATGCAAAGAAAACAAATAGATAGCTCGCATCCTTGGCCTCTGATTCTATCTTGACCATGAATAAAAGTGTTCAATGTACACTCACTAGATTTCTACCTTATGAGTTAACTCATAAGGCATAAATCAACAAATGAATGCCGATAACAACCATATGCAGAACAACAGTGGATTGCTTTCCACTCAAAATTCAATTTTCTCTTTACATTCACTTAATGGAGACAAAATCTACATTGAAATCTCTGGTGAACTCAGTTTCTTCTACTTGTTGATAATTTCCCTAATTGCCAATTCAAATTTTTTAAATTATATTTAAACAAAAACAAAACAGAACAAAACAAAAACAGTTTACTCTGGGCATTGTCTTTTATTCCATATTATTTCAGGAAACAAAATGGTTTTGAGATTCAGTGTAGGTAAAGCAGCCTATAATAAATGCAACTTATTCATACTTACCACCCATGTTATGGTCAGCTCTCTGTTGCTTCCACCTCCACCTCCTACATCTGAAGGCGCCACATTAGGAGCTGAAACAAACAATAAAAAATGAGGTTATGCAATTTTTTCTGGCACTCCAAGACCATAAATTTTTTCTTCACTAGGAAACACACGCTGCACACATTACCTACTCAATTATAATGATAATGCCTCACAGCTGCAATCTATTATATATTATATATATAATTATATAAATATAAATAAATATAAATATAAATATAAATATAAATATAAGTATAAATATAAATATAAGTATAAATATAAATATGTTTTCCTGCCAAGCTAAAAATTGATTCAGTGCCATAGGAAAGTATGGGTTTTCTTTAGCAGGGGGTAGCAAAGCAAATTTGCCCTCCCACACACATTTTTTTTTTTCCTGTGTCCTTTCATTTAATATGATTTTGAAATATTAGATCTATTTTGTTGGGAAAATATTCCACGCTCTTACTTTTGAAACTTATGACCTTCTTATAATTTACTGTTGTGTTAGTTTTATGCTTCAATCTACAAATAATATTAAATAGCTCCTGTGTATTAACATTGGATAAAGTTTCTCCAAAACATCTGGCAATATTTGAAATCTAATATTTTTTTCTGGTACTCTCACTTCCAGTTCCTAAATACCTTCTAGAACCTTGCCCCATCAGGGACTCCGACTTTCCCACACTTCTGTCTTTTTAGATCTTCCTTCAGTTTCACTTGTTCTACTGGATTCTACCTTATAGTCTCTCCATCTTTAAAAATTATCTGTAATATTGCCTCCTTCTTACCTCCACACCATTAAACACTTTGTCACAGAACTGCAAAGAAGAACTGATATATGGCTATGTTTTGTACTTCATTCTGTAATAGCTTTTTAATGACCCATAATCTGTTTTCTACTTCTTTATATTACTAAATTCACTCTCTCAAAAAATCACAAATCACAAAATTGCTTCAAATTGCTAAGTCCAATGACCTCTTCTTTATTTTTCTCCATGTTATTCACTCTCCCTATAAATCTTTCAGGGTAGTTGCTGCATCTCATCATATTTGTATACTATTGGATTCTTATCTAACTGGAGTTGCACAGATAAATAAAGCATAGTTTGTCTTGTACTGGAGGCACTTAGAAACCAGCTACATGGATGAAGTCCGTGTTTTAACATGCAACTGTGTGGCTCAGTCTGAGATATCATTCCCAGATCTGTTAAAATTTTAAAGAACAGATGAAGGGCACCTGTGTGGCTCAGTAGGTTAAGTGTCCAAGTTCAACTCAGGTCATGATCTTGAGGTTCATGGGTTAGAGCTCCAGTTCCAGCTCTGTGCTGACAGCTCAGAGCCTACAGCCTGGTTTGGAGTCTGTCTCTGTCTCTTTCTCTGCCCCTCCCCCACTCATTCTCTCTCTCTCTCTCGCTCTCTCTCTCTCTCTCTCTCTCTCTCTCCCAAAACTGAATAAACATTAAAAAAAAAAAAGAACAGATGAAAGATGAATTATCCCTGGATTCCCCACATCCTTCCCATGGAAATAGTCATACCTTCCTCAGAGTGCTCAAAGTAACATGTTCATTTACTAAGCTGCACATACCAACAAATAATTGTGACTCAAAGAAAAATACTTCACAACTTCTCCTATGTTAGCCATGCAAATTGTTTGTTGAGATATGTACGTTAATTGCACAGAACCAAAATGTATGGTTTTATGTCTATAAACTGTGTGATGATTTCCATTTCTGATTAGGAATGAATATGAATTTGAGAGATTTTATTTTACTATTCAACTGTCACCACATAAGTGTTAGAAATAAAAATTGAGTGCACAGAGGTGTTAAAAGATAATTGTAGTGCTTTAGATAAAATACATATTGAACCCTGGATATTAAAATAACTCTTGGAAACCTTTTAAACCACATAACTCATATTCTGAAGTTAAAATTTTACATGCTACAAGAAACAAGAAACAAAGAACATGCTGTCTTACAATCCATGAATAGATCAAATTTTGTGTGTTTAACTCTAAGTACAAGTATTGTGGTCACAGGCAAATAATTTCAAAAATAACTCTTAGAATAATTTATTACACTGCAATTTGTTGAATCAAACATTGCCTTCATCAGATCAAGTATTATTTGCCAAAGCACTTCACTGTAATCCTTTTCATTATAATCAAAATTAACCTCTTTATTTAGAGCTAAAAATGAAATATGTGTATTATGTTAGATTGAATTTTTCTCCATTTCATAATGTTTATTTCAAACTCCTTTAACATGCTTCAATAAATCAAGATTGACTTGCCCTTCAAAGATCACCCACTCAGCTTATGATGCTAAAATAAAAGGCAGGAATAAAGGAAACTGTACCTTCTAATAGAGTGTTTTATATCGTAGGTGAATTATTGACTTAATGTCCTCCATTTAGCTTTGAATGTGCATATTTAGCTTTATCAACTAAGGGGCATTTTTTTTTTCACAGGTGGGATTGACATATACCCTACATAACTGACAAGAATCTGAGCACCTTGGGGCGCCTGCGTGGCTCAGTTGGTTAAGTGTCTAACTCTTGATTTCAGCTCAGGTCATGATCTCACGGTTCATGGGTTCAAGCCCCACATTGGGTTCTGCACTGACAGTGTGGAGCCTGCTTGAGATTCTCTCTCTTCCTCTCTCTTTGCCCCTGCCAGTCCCCTGCTTGCACTCTCTCTTTCTCTCAAAATAAATAAACTTAAAAAAAAAAAATCTGAGCACCTAGCTACTGTATATTTGCATTCAGCTTTGCAAGAACAGAAGACCTGGGCAAATCATGATTCCTTTCAGGGAAGTAAACAACTCTAACACAAGGCAGTTTATTCAGCGTTAGGCTCCAAAGCAATTTAACAGTGAACAAACTAAACTTTCTTTTAACAATAAATCATTTAAAAGATTTTAATGAAATATTTAGGAAAAAATAGAAAATTATTGAATTAATCACGAATAAACAATATTTATCATTTTACTGTGAAATGTTAAAAATAGCTTTTAAATTTGTTCTTCTGCCTTGAGTTCAGTCTAACAGTGATTTCCTAATGATGTTTACAAAAGTGCTTCTGTATTTCAGTCACAGAACTCAAAATTATTTAAAAAGAAACTCAAGCCAATGTCATAATTACTCGTTCAGTTTAGAAAAAAACTGATGCTGCCAATTTTACTTTTAGATTTGAAAGCTTAGGTAATTTCCTTAGAAGTACCAATTTGAGCTTTAGCGTTTTTTTGCTTTTGTTTTTTCTTTCTTTTCTTTTTTAACAGTGTACACACTGACTTATGACAAAGCCTAAATTGTAACAACCATGAAGTATATGAAGACAGGCCCTTGATTCAAAATAAATTGTTGACTACTTAGTCCTTGTTAATTATTGCTTAATTTGTATAGCCATTTTTACAGAAATAAAGTTACCATGAATGTAGCTTTCAAATTTAATTTGCATCAAAATCTCATTGTGATTTAAAACAAAATCTTTAGGAAGAGATTCAAATGGTTATAACTGTAATGCTCTAGAATCTAGAAAAACCAAGGGATTAAAAGTACAATTAAAGTCTTGCATCTGCTTTTATTCTACTTTTAAATATATATTCTTTGTGATTAGCCATTAACAAAACCAAATGAACTGCATAATATTTGGATATTCAAATGAGAGTAGCTATTTGTAACTCTTAATGATCTGTTCCGCTGGTGGAACAGATTGCTAATATTGCTAATGCATCTGCCATGTTAAACTGATGCTCTTCCCGTAACAGGTAAAAACAATACAGGGTCTGAGATAATTCACAATAATATTAATGTCGTAGGGTCTTCTAGAGCTGAAATTGGAGGTTTGTTTATGAATCTAGGCTTTGATCTCAAACAGGAAAAATTTAAATGGGTGGAACAGAGTAAATTTGTTAACTGCTCAAAAGCATGATAATCTAAAAATAAGTCATCTGAAGAAATGCTGTATGGGCAGAAAAGAATGCTACAAACTGAAATGATCATAAGGTACAGTGAAGTTATTATGAAGAACTCAAACCAACTATGCACTATTCATTTAAGTAAAAGGATGAAATCTAGTTTCTCTCAGGATATTAAAAACAAAAGTATTTAATGCATGTGTGACCTTTGTTTTCAAATAGAATAAAATATATTTGGTAATGGGTTCTTTTCAATCATAACGTGCAATTATCACTATGGCTTTATCACTGCTTCTCTTTTCATCCTCCTCTATTAACTGCCAATTTCTAGAACGACCATCTTACCCTTCTTGCTCCTCCTTTTCTCTTCCACAAATAATTTTGTAGCGCTAAAGATAGCAACATAAATAGAATCTGATTCCAGTACTGAAGATGCACTTTCTTTAATTTAGCAACAAGTGAATATGTACAACTAATTTTAATTCAATGTGTTTAGTATCCCCAACTTGTGAAAGTCTGCCGAATGAATGAAGCAGCTCAGCTTCATAAAAGACTCATCTAGAACTCAGAAGTGATTTTTACATACTGCACCTAACTGGATACTCAGATCAGCCCTTTGAAGTAAGCATACAGAGAAGTAACATTATCCCATTTTACAGGAAAGGCAAATGAATCCCAATGGAAGTTACTTAACTAGCCATGTCACAGTGCTTACATGGAGAGTAGCTTTAATGCAGTCCTCCTCATTGCTTAAAAATCGATACTTTTTGCTACTTTAAAAAAAGATTTCTCTCTTTTATTACCAATGATAGCAAATAAATTTATCAGTAACTTGCTAGCTACAAAACATGCTCTTAGCACCATTTCTCTCCTTTATCAAACATAACTAAAATGATTAAAAATAGAACTAAATAAAAAGAGAATGGCTTCATTAGACACAGAATTAATGTTCTATATAAAGGATAAAAGTGCTGATTCTTGTATTTTTTTTCTCTTTTCCTTCTTAGGTTGATCTGGCATAAATAAATGCCAAAGCTGTCAAAACAAACCCAAATGTGCCATTTTAGGATATCAACTCACCAACTGCACCTGCAGATCCATTAGCTATGAGGGTATGTCTTAATGACACA